CTCACTAGCCCAAGGCGCTTCTGTGAGAAGGTGGACAAAGGACAAGCACATGAACAAAAGTAGTTCATAAACTCAAATCTTCAAAAAGTCTTTTACTTTATTAAGTAAGCTGAACTCCAACAGGACTGAAGAGAGATTATTTTTAGAACTGATAGCAAGCAAAGGTCTTATCATTGTCCATTTTCTAGATGGAAATCAGTAGGGTATTCTTGTAGGGACTGGTGCTCGGACTGCTTTTCTTCAAGGTAGTCATCAGTAGAAAATCGCCAGATCTGAAATCTCCAAGTCTGCAGGTGATGCTAAGTTTTTTTCTGAGTAGATAATTGTCATGCAAATTTTAAGGAACTACAAAAGGATGCCACAAAACTGAATGGACAGAAAGGTGGCAGACATGCCTCAGTAAAAAAGTGAAAAGTAATTCATCTGGAGTAAAACAATGTAAACCAGGCCTACGTAATTCTGAATTCAGAACTGGCAGTTACAACTAAGGAGAAAAAACTTGGATCCACCATAAACTGTCCTCTAAAATTATTAGCTCAATGTGCAACACAAGCCAAAAAAACTGACAATGTGAATTCAGCAACGAATAGATTAACTAAGGATTTTTTCCTTTTTAAGTCTGAAAAAAATGAGTGAACTGGAATACCCATGAAAAATGAGGAAATTGATTTAAAGGACTATCAGAAACAATTGTAACATTCACTTTATTTTATTTGCTTATAACTGATTTATATCATTTCACTTCAAGCTCTCTTTAATGAAGAGTTATTCTTCCACCAGTAAGACCTTTTTTTCTCTCCCATATGATATACATTCATGAATACAGAAATGTGGATAGAAAAATTGCTCAACACACTAAAAATGCCTAAAATGAAATGAAGCAAAGAAGTTTGTTGCACCCACAATATAGCAGAACCTCTAAGAATTTCAGCTCCATTCCTAAATGGAAAACATAGCAAAGGGTATCCTACTGACCTTACACACAGGACTGTAGCAATGTTGGTAAGGTGTCAAAGAAGCTCTAGAAGCTGATGTCAAAGATGTTTGTTGCACAGTAGCAACGGGAAGCTCCATGGGTATATGGGTAAATGAAACACCAAGGCAAAACACAATATAAACAAAATACCTGGAGTACCTAGACAAAAAATCCACAGCAGAAGCCATATTTTATTTAATTCTGAAAAAAGTCCCTGTTCAAAATGTTGCCATCAAAAAGTTATGGTAAAAGGGTGGCCATAACATACTTAAACTCAATAAATGTAAATGCAAGAAAGACAATGAAAATTCATTATAATAGTATTTAACATGTAAAAGGAGGGCAGCATGCAAGTTAGAGAATTTGCTGAAAAAACTGAAAGGAGCATTTTGAGGAATAACTTCCATAAAACTTTAAAACTACTAATAAGGCCTTTTCAAATACATCAATAGCAGGAAGACTGGCAGAGTCAGATGACCCAGGTGTGATAAGGAATCTCTGAAAAGATAAAAACAAAACAGAAAAAACAGAATGCTGTCAGGGGTTGCTACAGAAAAGCTTAGGGATCCCAAACAAGAACCCTTCTTTACAGGAAAAACATTGGAGAAACTGCCTCAAAACACAGCATAAGTAGGAGAGATTCTTAGAAGAAATTAATGAAACGAAACTTAACAAATTTCTAGGATTAAATTGGTGTCATCCAAGAATTCTGAAAGAGTTTAAGTAAGAAATTACTGATTTTCTGGCTGTGGTATAAAGTCTGTAATCAAAATGGTCACAGTACCAGAGGAATGAAAAGCAGCAAATGAAGTGGCAACTTTTTTTAAAAGGATTCTGGGAGAATGTGGGGAATTAGAGATCAGCAAACCTGACTTCTGTAATGGAAAAACTAGTAGAAAACAGAATAAAACAAAACAAAACAAGACAAAACAAAAAAACAAACAACAAAAACCCCCAAAACCCCAAAGCAGACTTAACAAGGATATGCATAATATGGTATAGTGGGAAAAAATACCTTGACTTTTTGCGGAGGGAAATCATGCCTCTCAAGAGCTGCTGGTGGTACTGAGGAAGTCAATGAGAAGATGCATGATACCCAGGGGTTAGTATACATGCACTGCTGTGTAGCCAACCCTGCTTCTGCAAACTGCAGTGCAGAAGAAGCTTTGAGAAGTAGTGCTGAACATTTGACCTCTTTTTATACTTCTGCTTAACTTACTCCACCAGCCACCACTTAGAAACAGGACATTAGGCAAGGCAGAGCTTTGATCTGAGCCAGTCCAGCTATTCTTACATTTGCTTATGACTGATCTTTCTTGCTGTCTCTACCAGGGCTAATTTGTGATCGTGGTTAGCCATAGCTCTTTCCTTGCCCTCATGACATCAGTATAAACAATGTCATCTGCACTGATATCTGCAGCAGACAACCCCCTGGGGGTTTTGTGCTTTCTCTGCTGATACCCCCTGAAGCAGTTTCCATCCTGCATGGCATTGTCAGCCACCGATAGCACCCAAACAGGGTCCAGAAAGTTGTCAAGTAACTGTTTGCTGCATCCAGTCTCACTTGCCAGAAGCCATCTCTGGCACCCATGACTGAAAAGACTATTGTGTTCGCTTGATTTGGCAATATTTCAGTGACTGTTGGCAGAGAACAGTATAAGCACTTTAGTATGCTATTGAGGTCTTTTGGATTGATGTAGATCATCAGTTTGCCTGTCTTTCTAGCTGCCACCATACTGCTGATCCAGTCAATTGGCCTTGCAACTTTTTTCAGCCACCTTGTTCCATGACAGTTTTAACTTTCACCTTGAGCTGCTTCAAGAGTGCCAGTACTAGCATTTTATATATAGCTGATGCCACATCATCTTAACCTTGCAGACCTTAAAAGCACTCATTATCCACTAACCTGATCCCTTGACCAGAGACTATTTTTTAATAGTCAGAAAAGTAATATCTCAGACTTGTTTCCTCCCACCCTCAGTTTGCTCTGAGATGCATTGACTTTGCGATAAAGACTCCATGTCCAAGATAAGAAGTCCTGCACCAGATAATATAATTCTCCATCCATTCTATTGCTAGAAAAGTTGAAACCTGATCCTTATTTACATATGTGCATTTCAGCCTAAGGGTTCCATAAAAGAATACTTTTAATTTGATCTCATGGCAAAACAAATTTCCATACTGTTTTATTTTTGAAAATAGTTTACCCAGTTTCACCACAGAATCACGTTCCACTCAGCACAGGCTTTTCTTTGCCACTTGCTTGTCATTTCTCGTGTTCGGTTTCTGAACCATATTATTTTCTTGTTAGTGGCATTTCACTTGCATGTTATATATTATTCAGACTGGATTCATCACAGGTGCTCTCTTTTTTCTCTTCAAGCACTTATGTAAATTAAATCACCAGCATAATTTGGGATCTCTTCACTTGGATGTGTGTGGTCCAAAATTAATCTCATCAAAGTTCCAATTTCACACAGGGTGACAATACCACCTTGCTCTTATGCAGAACTTTTAACCACTAGACCTCAAAGGGCTATAACAGAAGAAGCTGATATCTTTATCACAGTTTTGTAAGGGTGCTGTATAGGAGTGAAGTGACTTCCTCAAGGTCATCTAACAGCTTGGTGAAAGCAGAACTTAGGTCTTGCGAGTTCCAGGCTAGTGCTTTATCCAGCAAGAAACACTGACTATGCTGAAGTCTGAGGTCTCCCTGTCCTTGGCCTGTTCTATTAAAACGCTGCACTGGCATTCATATAAACCATTTACCAAGGGTAACATCCATTTGTTCTGCATCAAAAAGCAAGAGAGATTGACACATACATAATCTTTTCCTATATGTGATGGATTGATCCTTGACTTAGGATCATTTCAGTCACCTCTTTGTAGTCTTTCCTTCATGACAAAAATTTCCCAGGCATTCTGTGCAAGATGAGAATGGAAAGCTGTTAAACAACCATTTCTCCCATTCCTCCTAAGCGAACTTTTTACTGCCAATCCAGATTTGCATCACCTGCACTGTTGAAAATGAAGGCTTAAATACGATCTCTGTACATTTGTGTTTGTCATACGTTGGCTTAGAAACACGAAAATCCACACAGCATTTCTTAAAACATTTTCTAGAGATGTTTTCAAAATACCAGCATGACTAAACACAGTGCATAATCCAAATGCACAGGTTTACCTAGAATATTCATGGCGTTGGGTATAACAATGTCCAAGTGCAATGTTAATCGAGCTACTCTAACACTGCCAGAAAGGATTAAAAGAGGAGGAAAGCATGTTTGTGCCCACTTACAGATTCCTGGTGTAATTTCAGGAGTGTGATATAGGCCTTCTTTGTACTGACAAACCCTAATAGCACTTTGCATTTAGAATATGCAGTGCTCTAACAACAGCATTTCATTGATATATGCTGCTGTGTGCAACGCAAACCTTACTGAAATCTTGAGGAGGGCGTGGTTCCTGATTATATGAGTAGCACACAAGAATCCCAGCATGATTCACACACTGCTTCCCCAGTTTAGATGAACCTAAAATAGCAAAGAGGTGATCCTGCTGCCACGAGGACTGTGTCAGTGTGCAGTATGTCCGCTTACAAGCACACTGCCTAATTTCTGTGATGCTAGCATGTATCTGGCATTTGTAAGCTGAGCTGGCCTGCAGAACAGGAGCAGCACTCAGGCTGATGTGGTCTCTGGCAGATTCATGCAAGCAAAAGTCTCAAAGTTTGCAACAGAACCTACACGGGAGCTTAGAAAGAACTTATTGGATCTTGTCCGAACAAAGCACAAACCTACAAGACACAAACAAACCTTTTATTGAGGTGGGAAGACGCAACTCTGCTGCAAAGCACACAGACCTCAGCAGAATTCATATCCCGACACAGACCACAGCATGTCACCTATGTACATGTACAGAAACTGATTAATGGGCTGTCACTTTATTTGTTGACTGCTGAATTATTTATACTTATAAAGTGTTTAATAATTTAGAGCTGATATCTTAACAAATTACAGCTGAAAGTGACAAGGGGAAGGTGGCACAAGAATCTCACTTGAGATCAATGCCCTTGTTCTCAGGGCACTTTGGAACACGATTTCTGCTGACTGTCATCAGCAAAAAAAAGGAAGGGGGAAGTATGTTGATTTGGTATTACGTGTTAAACAGAGAGAACTGCATATTTCAGTAATCAAAGGAAAAAAGTTGCTTTAAACCAAAAAGAACATGAAATTACTCTGAAGAAATCTACATTTCCATATGAAATGAAAATCATTGTCTTAAAAAAAAAAGACTAAATAAAAGCTAATTACAGTGTTTGTTTTTAAAATTTTGTCTCAAAGCATTTTATCCATCTTTTCTTGCCACAAAGGATTTGGATACATATTGATTTTGACCTGCATGCCACATCTTTACAAAAAAGCAAAGTCATCTTAATACGAAGAGGTTATTTTTTACTGTATCAGGATGGAAACAAAATTACCATTTACTGGCTCTATGTGAGTTAAACTTAGAGTGCATGAGAAAGAGAAACATAAATTCCGATTTTTAACAAAATCCAAATGCTAAACAACAGAAAAGCTGGCAGAGCCAAACTAACTGAAAACAACATTCCTGTAAAAATCATCTATATAGGTAAATAACATTTCATTCCAGGATGGCAATTTCTTCACAGACATTTTTACAGAAGAAAAAATACTTCAATGTAAATATCTAAAATAGTGAATTCCATTCTCTAAGCAGGAATTTCCTGGGTATTAACCCACTCTATTTCCCTTAAATACCACAAGAATGCAGTGTCTAGTAGAATCTTATTTTGGGGAAACACAAATTCTTAACAAAGACAAGAGGCTCCTACTGACAGAAATTATACTGCCCCAACTGCACACAAATACACTTTTCAGGGTAACCTCTTCAGCGAAAAAACACAGTTTCACCTGATCACCCCAGTTCTACCCTGTCCACAACAGAAAAATGATCTGGGCGAGCCACCGCTGAACCCCAGTAGCATCGTATATCCACACACAAGATACCATTCACCAGTGCAAGACTGACCTCTGCTTGTATTCAGCTTGCTTCAAGCAAGTACCATATGTCTTTCCACCACAGTAGCACAGGCATTGTGGCCTTGATCAGTGTAAATCATATCCAGCTCCATCCCCAGAATCTGCTTAGGCAATCAGTGCTTTCTACTTTGGCGCAGGCAGCTTGACTCCTACAAGGAATAATGTTACACATGCAGTAGAAACTTGGTTGCACGGTTATTTCCTAGTGTTAGCTTCTTCAACAGCAATTGCTTTCTCTCTCATTTAATTGCTGCGTATCTCCAAGGAGATTTTTATATGAGCTTGCTGCCAGCTGGACTGGGATCAGTAGGTGGCCATTACTGGACATTTGGGAGAGATGACTTGAATTAAGGCCAGCTGAATCCCACTAACAGCATTTTCATTCTGCCCTCAGATACAGGCTCACCCATAATATTACTTCTGCAGTACAGACATTTACAAGACTACAAGCACAGCCAGCAAACTTCAATAAGAACAAGATCTAGTCAGCTCCCTACCTGCACTACTAAGCACAGAACATGTAATTCTACAGAAACCTTTCCAGTTTAGCCCATGCCTACATTTTAAACTCCTCTTGAGCCAGTCATCCTAAATTCCCCGCGGAGAGCAAATGGTGAACACCCTGGGAGAGACAGCCTGTTTCTCACTATCCAGTTCAGAAGGCTAGCAGCCATGTTGCTTCTCACACATATAAGCAGGATGAGTGACAAATGCAGTTGAACAGCTTATTAAAAATATATATATACACCTAAAAAATTGCTTGTAAATAGGTTATACATATATATGTTTCACTATAGCGATGCTATGGTCACATGAACAGTTGGGTGGAGAATATTCATGGAGGACAACTGCTGAAAAGTTTGTCTATTATGTAAGTGAAAAAAGGATAAGGGAAGCAGAAAAGTAAAAGTATTTTTTCTCTAATCCGGACTTACTAGTATGGGAGGGTGAACAAGCTATGGGAAAGGTGACTGTTTTTATGAACACATATGCTGAAAGGTGAACCTTTTTCAGGGTTTGACTAGAAGGTCATACGTATAATTCCTTCTGTATTA